TATACACAGGGGCACACATGTTTTCTGGTACTCCGGAGGACAGGACCCATACCAGTGGATTCAAATTACATGAAAATAAATTCTTATAAGCATCAGGAAGTATTTTCTGATGGTGAGAGCTGTTTGACGGTGGGACAGACTCCCTTGGGAGGTTGTACATGACCTTGGAGGTTTTTAAGCAGAGTTTGATTGGCCGTCTGTCAGGGATGCTTTAGCTGTGATTCCTGCACCGCAGGGGGTTGGGCTAGAGGACCCTTGGAATCATTTCCAACTCTAGTAGTCTATGAATTGTAACAAATGAAATAGGCTGATTTTGTGGGGGAGTTTTTATTAAACAATATAGTATTTTTTATATTTATTTTTTTTTTAGAAGTAGTATTTAACTGATTGGGAGTGCAACAGCTGCACAGGTTGAAGGAGGACATATAGACACTGTGATCTGTTTGGGGGCTCTTTGTGTATGAATCTACAATTCATCAAACAAAGGTAGAGGCAGAAGGGAAATCTCTAAGCTGGGGCGAGAGGAATGTAGGGGAAATCCCCCAGGCATGCAAAATAGGTATTGCTAGTTGTGATGTATTTCTCTTTCAAAGAATGCCTTTACCTTGTAGGACATTCAAGGTGAGCATAATTGTTTGCAGTTGCATAATCTGCCTTCCTGGGTGTGCTTTGTTGATTGCTGCTCTTGGTTCATCACATTTTCTCCAAAAATAGGGGTGGATGTTGTGATATATGAAATTATTTGTTTGACAGAGTTTGCATTTCCACAGTGGAGCAGGCGATTAATCCATATTGCCTATTTAGGGTTTAATTAGGGTTCAATGTGCTTGAAGGGGATACATGATTGATAAATGGCACAGGCCTGTAGATCAACCCTGCCTGTCCACTGTATGTCCACCAAAATCTCCTGTTTGCTAGTAAAGCTGAATTACTGTGTAGCGAAATGATTCATGTCTAAAATGTGTGCCACCAACATGAAAAGTTTGGAAAGCTCTTGATTAAGCCACAGGCATAGAGAAAACTGCCCAGCTCAGCTTAGCCCAAGTCATCACTTCCCACCTTAGGAGGAAATGGTAAATGGTATTTCTGTCTTCTGTAATCACTCTGATAAGATGTTGGCCGTAACAAAAGGGGTTTTGCAAGAACTACTGCGGACAAACAATGAAATAAATGTTCTTGTTCAGTTGCTGGTGGTATTGTGACTCACACTTCTGATTTGTCATCCACCCAGTTGCACAAATTCCTTCTAAGCGCAAGCCCCCTGAAGGGAAATCCCCAGACCACACTATAAAGAGACTTCCCTCTCCATGCTTCATCAGATGTGTCCAAGCTGGGGAGATGAAGTCCATCAGTGCAGCTGGGCTGCTGTTTCTTCTGCAAAGTGCAGTTGCAGCAAATGTCACTGCAGCAAGGCCAACAACTGGGGTAAGAGATGTCTCTTGATTATTTATCATTAACTCCATATATTGTAGTTCTTTTCCTTCTGGCATAATCATCACAATATTATTCAGGTTAAATTGGGTGAGAGTGTTCAAAAGCAGCTGATTCCCAACTAAGTGCTGTGGTAGGTTTTCCAAAAAGCATCCCCCAAAAGATAGGGGAGGTCAGGAGGGAAGCAAAGGGTGGGGGGTTATTTTATATTTGTGTTGCTGTTGGTGTTTATATTATACCATCACAGTATACAGGAGGACAGGACCCTGCCCCAAAGGCCTTACAATTTAGAACTCACCACAGAGCAGACAACACAGTAAGAAGAGGGGAAAGGGAGGCAAGGATGAATTAGGCTTTATTTCAGTGACACCAAATTTATAGCCAATAGAACAGCATGTCCTTCAACATTTCCCTGATGAAAATAGGGATGTCCCATTCCATAATGCTCATTTTACTATTTATTTACACATCTTACTGGGTTGCCCCAGCTACTCTGGGCAGCTTCCAACTTATATAAAAACAAACAAAAAAGATTAAACATTAAAGGATTGCCTTCAGATGGCTCAGGGGTCAGATAACTCCATACCCTCCAACATTTCTCCAATGAAAATAGGGACATCCTAAGGAAATGGAGGACATTCCAGGATCAAAGCAGAAATGGGGATGGCTCCTCTAAATCAAGGATGTCCCTGGAAAATAGAGACACTTGGAGTGTCTGGAACAGGTTTTATGAATCTTCTTACTAAAATTATTATTATTATTATTATTATTATTATTATTATTATTATTATTATTAATACTAAATATAAATTATGTAAGAACTATCTACTGGGCCACAAAAAATAGCAAGCAAGACCATAAAATTTGAATTGGTTGGAAATAAATCTGTTGCAAACCCTTACAGGAAGGTGGGGTGGATGGGAGAGAAATCCTAGGTTCTTTCATGCTATCTAATCTCATCCAGGGAAGGTTCCCAGCATTCCAAACAACTGTGACCAAGAAACAGAATGCAGGGTGAGCAGTTTAGAAACATAAGAGTTGCATCTGCAATTTTGGACAAGGTTGCAGAGGCACCTGGTCCACCCCTGACCCTTGATGACCCTTCCACCACAGGCTTAGCTTCAAAAAGTCATTGAGTGAAAAGTAGCTGCAGGTGAGCCAGGCTTTCTCTGTTGAGACTTCTGTAGGTTTCACCAGGCAGAGGAAGCTGGAGAAGAATGCAGAGCTGCTGTTGACTTTCTCTGTCTGTTGTTGTTCTATACCTGCCTTGTCTCTTCTTTAGCAGAGCAGGCACAATTTGCTTTTAGGGAACCTGCCTGCTCTCTCTGCAGGTGTTGCAGGAGCCTACATGTGCCTCATCTCACTGAGGGATGGGAAGATCCAAGGGCATGGTACTTCTCCATATTCAGTTTCCATTCAAAGGAGGGATCACTGGAACCTTACAATATTGTATCATACTTGAGCCTATGTATAAATGTTAGCATAACTGGAGGTAGACAGCTTTAGCGCTCAAACAAAGCAAGTTCCTGTGTCCCACATTAAATATCCAGCAAGGCATCTCTGCATCTCCAGATACTGTTTGTATTTACAGGAACCACCACCCCCTCCGCCTCAACCCACTGACATTCTGTGTCTTTTCTCAGTCTCTCTTGCTCCCCAATTCAGAACTTCAACTTGGGTTATTTGCTGTGTACACGTTACCAGCTTGTTGTGCGGCTAAGTTATTCTTTTTCTCAATTCAGACCAAATCTGGTTTGGGGAAAAACCTGTCAAAAGGTAGTATTCCATATTGCAGGATGCTAACGATGCTTGTACACAGTGGGAGTGCACTGCGTGCAGTGGCGTAGCATGGGGGGTGCCAGGGGTGTCGGCCGCACGGGGCGCAACATCTGGGGGGAGCGCGAGTCCAGAGGGAAGGGGCAAGTTCCTTCCTCTGCCGGGCTCCCCACCGCCACCGCCAGCCTTGCGCCCTAGAGCAGTGTTTCCCAACCGGTGTTCCGCGGCACACTAGTGTGCCGCGAGATGTTGCCTGGTGTGCTGCGAGCGAGTCCAAAAAAGGTTGGGAAACACTGGTTTCTCTTTCAAAAAGGAAACGTGGGTTAAAGCGGCGACGCCGCCTCCCACTCACTTTCCTGCTCTGGCTTCCCTAACAGTTTTCCGAGTTGCGTCACTGGATCCAGCCCCCTTTTCCACATGTGACACGGGGCTGGAGGGAGGGAAAGAGGGCTTTACGTCGCGCACAAAGGCAGCCTCCTAGAAGCGCTCTGGGCCGGCGCCGTTTCGCCGAAGGCGCCGGAGGACCCCCACCCTCAGCTCCTTCAGAAAGGAAGCCCCGCCCCTCGGCTCCCTACGCCGCCAGGCAGCTCAGCTGACTGACGAGGACGTTCTGCGGCGGCCGGCCGCCGCACAACCACCGCAGTTGCTGGCAGCGTCCGCAGTGCAATAAGTAACAGCGCCTGGTGCTGCCAACTCTTTCTCTCTCTCTCCCACCCCGCCCCCAAGCTCTCGCGCGCCCCGCGTCAACATCGCCGCGCGCAGCTTCCCGAGCTCGAGGCCAGCCGCTGCACGCACGCGCCGGCTCGTCATCGGCTCCGGTTGTTGCCTTTCTCCGCCGAGGTCGGTGGACCCCGAGCCTAGGCTTCCTTCCCGCACCCCGCTTTCCAAAGACCGCACACCAGTTGGGCCAGTACATATTCCCCTCCCGTGACTGGAGCGGAATAGACCTTTCTCTTCTTCCCCAACCCTTGTCGTTGGAGGAGTCCCTCAGTCCCTCGCTTTGCTGCCTCCTCCCCCCCCACCCCCAAAGCTTGGAGGTTCCCCGGCAAGGGGGAGGGGAAAAAATTGAAAGTTACACTTTCGTGCGTCCCTCCCGGCGTGACGCTGTGCGCTGACGTCACGGGGCTGTAATGGTGGTGTGCCTCGAGATTTTTTTCATCAAACAAGTGTGCCTTTGCCCAAAAAAGGTTGGGAAACACTGCCCTAGAGCGCGCGCGCCCCCCGCCGCTGCGGCTGCGCTCCACTCACTGCTCGCAGGAGGAGCAGCCGCTGCAGCAGCGCGACGCCGGGCACGGGCAGCCTCCGCACCCCGACGCCGACGCCATCCCCTCGGCCCAGCCACAGGCGGCGGCTGCTTCTGCGCTCCCCAAAACCCTCCGAGAGGAAGCCGGCGGGCGGGCGAGGGTCTCCCGGCGGAAGGGGGCGCCGCTGGCTCCGGCTCTCAGCGCAAGTCTCAGCCGCGGGGGGGGGGGGGGCGAGGACGGAGCACGGCTGGAAGCCCCCGGACCCGGCCGGGAGGAGGAGAGGCGCTCGCCAAGCCCGGATCTGGAGCGCCTCGGAGCGCGGGCTCCACCTAAAGCCCAAGGAGAGGAGGGGGAGGGGAGGCGCCCGAGGGGAGGGGGCTTCGGCTGCCTCGGCCTGCGGGGGCTCCGCAAATAATAAATTTAATAAATTCCTGCTGAGCCTTTGGGGGGGTCCTTGGCTCCTTCGCTCGCCCCCAGCCCCAGTGGCGTAGCGTGGGGGGGTTAGGGGGGCCGGCCGCAACATCTGGGGGGGCGCGCTCACACTCGAGTGCTAAAATCCACGGGTTAGGGGGCGCAAATTACTTGCCTTGCCCCGGGTGCTGACAACCCACGCTACGCCACTGACTGCATGCAAGGCATTCCAAGATGCCTTGGAATGAAACACTCTGCAGGAAAGTATCTTTCCTACCTCCTTCTTTGTCTTAAAACAATCTTTTAAGAGTTATCTGCCACTGAGGGACATAATCTGAATCTTCCAGACTCTGGCCAGCTATTGCCTTTAGGTGAATAGGAAAACCCACAAGAATATTCTCAACAGTCAGAGCCTGGCCTATGTGTGGCGAGGAGCACAAAGCAGCCCAGGGCCTGGTGGCAGCAGAACAAGGCCTTTTGTCCCCATTTTTAAGTGGAGGAGGCTCCAAAGAGTCCAGTTGTTCTGGAGGAGAAAGCAATATATATTTACAGTTCCAAGCACTGACAAATCAGGGGACAGTTTTGGGAGCAGGACAAGGGACTACAGTCCCTTCAGTTATGCTTTTTTCCATTTTTTATTTTAAAAGAATCCTCCAGTTTCTGGAGTGAGAGTGAGGAGTGGAATTTGCCACCAGCTTCTCAGAGCCTAGAGGCCATGTTCAGTGTGAGGGAACAGGGAGTTGGGCCAGGTTTTGCTTTTTCATGTCAAACAACAACACAACAACAGCAATGGTGGTGTGGTAATTATAGAATTATGAGTACGGTACTTTGGGGAATTACTGATCTACTGTAAATATCTAGCCTCTTTTCTTCACCTTGAACTTGCTTGAGCACACAACATGAAGAGGGAAAAGGAGTGCTCAACAGGAATGACACCCACTAAATAGATTTTGTTTCTTATCAATGACCAATGAAGTCAAACAGGCCAGTTGTTCTCTCAGGCTTTTACCCTTTTGTGTCAATAATTGTATAACATTCATGTTGTTTCCCCCAACCCCAATTTTCTTGCAGCCATTTGCTAATGTGACTGGTTCTGTGGATGACCACAAAGTTTGCCGATGTTCCGTGTTCTTACCAGACACCACATTCCCTGTGCAGAGGATGGAGAGCCTTGAGATCTTAGCCCAACATCTCTCAAATAAATTTGAGAGTGAGCTTTCAAAAGTAAGTTACTTTAAAAAATAAATAAAAGTATACACCTCTGTAGTCAGCACATATAGTTTCTGGTTTTTTAAAACTAAGTTGAGAGAGAGAGGGAGGGAGAAATCAGCTCCCATTTGTTTCACAGGGTCTGTGCAGAATAACTTCTCAGTAGATAGTGCACAGTGACGTTACACAACCTTCTATATTTTTCTGGTCTAATTGGCAACTGCAGGCTTTAATCTGTTTGATTAAGCACCTAAGACTTTGGCTCCTGCAGTTTAATCAGATAATCTTAATCAGTTAGCCTGTGAATTAAGGGACCACTTGATCATTGCTGTTATAATTCTGGTGTGTTATTGGCAGTGTTGCTATTATCATTTTATTTCTTATGCCACACCCTTGCATAAGAGCTCTGGGTGACTGATAGGTCACCCTGTTCCAAGGACAGGTGCAGCTAGCAAACCAGTCAAAGCTGAGCCTAGCCACTCAGGCCACATGAGCACCTACGGCTTGGAAGCACCCCCAGACTACAAACCTGTTCTTTTAGGGGGAGTGGCACCCCATGTGGAACATGACATTCACCTATTTCTTGGAACCAGAGTCTCTGTCTTATCAGAATTCAACCTCAGTTTACTGGCCGTCATCCAACCCATCCCAGTGTTCAGGCATCATTCCAGCACTTGCACAGCCCTTTCTGATTTGGATAGTATGAAGAGAAAGAGTTGATTTTCATCAGCATGCTGATGGTAACATGCTTCAAATATCCAGATGAGGCCATCCAATGGATTAAAATAGATGTTGACTAGCATGGGAGACAAAACAGAACTTGCCATGGGGTTGAACAGAAGTCAGAAACACAAAGGAAAAGATTAAAAATGGCCTTTCCTTCAAAGAACGAGAGTTAGCTTTGTCACATTGCATTGTAACCTATACTTCCTTTAACTTTCAAAAAGGCACATGTCCTGAGGTTCTGTGCAGGCGTAATTAATAAAATCAGAGGTTAAAAAGCAGCCAGTTAATCAAGTGAAATGTTTTCCTTGGTTGAGAACCCCACATTAAGCATATTGCTTAGCATACTGGGGTTGGGGGGTGTCTGTGGATACAGAATCTACTGATTAGCCGCGCTTTTACTGTAACGGCAGGGGAAGCTCCTGTTATTATTGTGGCAGGTAGTTATGGGGGAAAGCAAGGTGGATCTTCTCACATAAAAGAAGGTTGATAATAGCCTGATACTCCTCCTTTCTGTCTGAAAATATTGCAAGACCTGAAGGTGGGGGATTCAACAGCTCCCTCTGCCTTGTGAAGCTGCACAACAGTGGGTTGTTTTCATGTGGTCATGAGGCTGTCTAATTAAAGCAAAGCTGCTTAGCCTTTTGCTGTTTTGTGGTTTGCTTTAGGAATTCTGCTGCCTTTCCCTTGCAACATTCATTAAAATCCCCACAAATAAGCCCCAACATCTGTAATTTCGAGGAAGTGGGGGTGGGTGAGGTTTGGGGGTGGAAATACCTCATGCAGCCAAGAACCAGCATTTGACATTGGCTGCTTGATGAAAAATATGCAGGGTTTCAATTAGGTGTCCAGGAGATATTATTTGACTGCTCCAGGAACCAGACGTTGTAACAAATGAAGTGTCCTTGAATTAATCAGGAGGAAAGACAGAACACTAAATTATAAATTCTGGCCATAAATATTAATAAACTTTCTAACAGTATAATCAGGAAGAGATAAGAAGTTTAAGCATAAAAAAAATCTACAACAGGGAGGTGGTGGAGACAGAGACAGTTCTCTGGGAACATTTGTTTTTTGCTTAAACAATTCTCTTTAAAGTAATAGGAATTATGACACACCTGCCCAGGGTGAGGCTTACATATGTTCACCTCTGTCCTCTTGTTGACGAATGTCCTTGTCTGCAAGGGGGAAGAGAGGATCCTGGCCCAGGAAGGAGTTGTGTTGGCTGAATGGGAACCACGAAGAGCCAGGGCAAGGAAACACCAACTGATAGTGGACGATCTGGCCCTAGATGCCAAGAATCTACATAAATTTGTCTAATCCATGTAGGTGCCATCACTGCCTCTTGTGTTTTATTGTAATTTTATTGGTGTTAGCCGCCCTGAGCCCGGCTCTGGCCGGGGAGGGCGGGGTATAATAAAAATTTAGTAGTAGTAGCAGTAGTAGTAGTAAGTTAGTGAGACAGGACTGACCCTTGCCGAAGCCAGTTTGTTCATCTTCAGCAGGACTTTCATCTGTATTCTTGGTAATTCTATCTTTAACAATGCTTTTCACCAGTTTTAATGTAACCAGCCTGTAGTTCCCTGGATCCAGCCTGGATCCTTTTTAAAAAACGGTATTACCCTGGCCACTAACTAGTCTTCAGGTACAGAGGCTGATCTTAGAGACAAGTTAAATATTTTTGTGAGAAGGTCAGCAATTTTTCTCTCTCCCTCTCTCTCTCTACGTACAATACATAAAGTTAAAGGGACCCCTGACCATTAGGTCCAGTCGTGGCCGCCTCTGGGGTTGCGGCGCTCATCTCGCTTTAATGGCTGAGGGAGCCGGTGTACAACTTCCGGGTCATGTGGTCAGCATGACTAAGCCGCTTCTGGCGAACCAGAGCAGTGCACGGAAATGCCGTTTACCTTCCTGCCAGAGCAGTACCTATTTATCTACTTGCACTTTTTTGACGTGCTAGGTTGGCAGGAGCAGGGACCGATCAATGGGAGCTCACCCCGTCGCTGGGATTCAAACCGCCAACCTTCTGATCAGCAAGTCCTAGGCTCTGTGGTTTAACACACAGCGCCACCCGCGTCCCTTACATACAATACATACATACATTTCAGTTTTTTAAAAATATTTTGACAGCAATTTCACGTTTGAGTCATTTAAGATCTCTTGGGTGGATAACATCCAGACTTGCAGATTTTTTTAAGGTTTCTCTCTCTCAATAAGATCTAGAACTTTGTCTCTTGTAACCACTATTTGTTCCTCAGACTGAAAGTTTATTCAGGCACAGAGATCTGTGCTATAGGCTTTTCTATGAAGATAGATGCAAGTGATTCATTCAGCTTCTCTGCCATCTTCTCTTGTTTAGCACACCTTTGATTTCCTTGTCACCCAAAGGTCCACCTCTCTAACTGTGGGATGGGATTTAATAGGCAGGAGAGGATATATTAATTGCAATTTATTCCTCCAGGGCCCATGTATGAGGGTTGAACATACATTTAAAATATGGGCCTGAATAAAGTTTAAAATCCCATCCTGAACAGAAAAATTGGAAGTATAGGAATTAGGCTGTGAAGGCTTTCTCACCTGACTTCACAAAGAATCAGACAACAGACTGAGAATCGCATAATCATAGAATTGTAGAGGGTCATCTATTCCAGCAGTGACAGATTTCTTGCAGAAGTTAAGAAGGGATGGTCAAGGACTAAAATCAGCCATTTGGTTCATTCTTAATGGGGTCCCACTTGTAGGACTACAAAAATAATTTAACAACCTACATGAATAATTTTGATAGGAACTTTTTAAAAATCATTTTAATCATTTGTGCTTACTAGCGAATTATCTTAAGCTATTCAGCAAAATAAGTGATTACAGAAAAAGTCGTCTTCCCAGTTGAAAGCTGTTTAAGGATAGTTTTAAACAATGAAATTTCTGAAACCAAACAGTGTTGTTCTCCTGTGAAGCACTATGTGATTAAAGTTATGGTAGCTGGAAAAAGAAACCCCCCAGCCCTGCCCCAAACCTTTGTGGCTCCGCAGTCCAGCTGGACAATGCAGCCTAGCAGGGCAACAAATCCTCAAGCTAGATGCAGAGCGACACATCCTCTGACATAATCTTGGCAGATAACAGATCGGGTCAGACATGAAAACAAAGCTTTTCTACAGGGGTGTTAAAGATACTCACTTATTTATGAGAATTGTTTATACAGGAAAAATAAAGAGCTTTTTGAGGCTTCTGTTTCATAGTTGAGGTCATTTGGTAAAGACATAAAATAAATGCAACCTCATTTGTTATTGTTCTATATAAAAACATTATTCAAGCCATCACCTTTCTTATTATTTCCAGCAGCAAATGATTGATGGATCTTGTAAATGCATAACTGTTCTTGAAAATGGCTAGGTGCCCCAGGCACTACACTTCCAAGCATCTGTTTGAGACATGCTTATATTGCACCGTTATGTCCTCTTGTAATCTCACACTGGAATCACAATGCTGAGGATTTCTTTTACACAGTCAATCATCCTGACATGAAAACCTATTAAATATCACAGTCTGAAGGGTTAACTAGAGGGTGACATGATCCGAAAAGAACCCGTATGGCTTTGGATTGTTCACCACATGTACTCAGCTAACAGAACTGTACAAATGATACGTTTGGTGATAAGCTAAATCTAAACATTGTTCATTTTTACTTTTTACTTTTTACTATGATGTTCCCATACACCCTGAGTTCACATTCTTCCAGGTTTCATTCCCCTAACCCTCCTGAAAATTCAACCAGCCCCACTCCCTAATTGCTGTTCTGTGAAGGCCTATTCAGTTCCACATGCTTTGCAGGAATCTCAGCAACCAACTTGAACTGGGTGGTTCAAACTTCTTCCCTTCCCTGTGATAGGTGATGCCATGATAGTTAACTGGTGTGAAATAAAAGGAAGGCTGTAATGCAGATCATGTGTCCTATACATCCATTTCGTTTGTAGTTACAGGCAGGGACTCTTGGGGTTCTCTGCCTTGTCCCAGGGGCATCTGGTTCTGAGAATGGGACTTTACCTAGTTAATTTCCATGGATACTCAGTACTCAGGCTTCCAAAACATCTTTAGCTATAGAAAGGAGCGTGTGTATGCAGTGTTGGCCCCTGCAATTGGTAAGGTCTATCTATGTAATCTATGTAAATCTATGTAAATGTATTTCTGCCTAAAAGCTCTTGTGATCGATTGCACTTGATTCATCAATCCACCAGATTTTTTTTAAAAAGTATGGATAAGGATCATCTATGTCATTCTGTCACAGTTGGAGGCACTTTTCTGTTGAACTCAATAAAAATTAAAACCCACTGAGAAAAATGTAGCTGAACAGTGATTACACTTTCCCTATCCTGCAGACATTCTTCTTTATCTATGTCATTTATCTGTAATCTTTGTCTTTATTTTTAGACCAGAATCCACAGCAATGTTATATAAGCTTCTGTGCTCAGTGGTACCCAAGTAATCATATTTTGATCTTGGCGAGATTACAGAGGTGCAGTGGGGCAAAACTTATCTTTTTAAAAGGTATCTTAAATACATTTTCTAAAATGGAATACATTCCTGTGTATATGTATAGATTACCAAGTACACCAAAGAAATTGCAATGTATGAAAAAAAGATTGTAAACCTAACCATCAAGATTGAGCGCATGGAGAAGATGAGCATTTCTTACACTGAACTGGACTTCCAACTGATGAAACTGGAAATCAGTGAAATGGAGAGGCTAGTCACACAGCTGAAAAGTACACTAATGGGAAGCAATGTGATTGTTGAGCAGCTGTATGGAGAGGTATGCTAAAAGCTTTGTTAAGATCCACAGTTTCTCCTGATAAAATCTCCAGTAGCTTTAATATGATTCTCCTGAAATTATGCACATATAGCCAAAGGTAGAAATTATTCCCTCCCTTCCTAGCCAGTTTACACAAGGACTGGAAAATATGGCTGGTCCATGAATAAGAGAATAGTGTCAAGGATGAAACAGTGGGGCTGGAATAAGGGTCAAGAGTAAGGGGGAGAAGGATCCAGGCCCTAAGGAGGAAATGGGAGCTATGTGGTCCAGAATAATTACCATGGACCAATCAAAAGCTCCACAAGTAGCCTGCTCTGTAAAAAAAATTAGTAACTATTCCCACACTGAGCACTGAAAAGAATTCATAAATTTGCATCCAATCGCTCACTCATTTTGTTCAAGGCACTTCACAGTAAAAGAACAAAACCACGCACACAAAACAAAACAGGAAGTTAAAGCAAATTAGTAACCTTATCCTAAGCTATTTGCAAAAGCCAAAAGATTTCTATGTGACACTGAGCACCTGTCATACATCTATCTACACTAATGGTGGTGGCATAAAATTTATTGTTAGAAATGCACAATTTCTAATTACAGTGGTACCTCGGGTTACATACACTTCAGGTTGCAGACTCCGCAAACCCAGAAATAGTACCCCGGGTTAAGAACTTTGCTTCAGGATGAGAACAGAAATCACACAGCGGCAGCCCAGCGGCAGCGGGAGGCCCCATTAGCTAAAGTGGTACCTCAGGTTAAGAACAGTTTCAGGTTAAGAATGGACCTCCAGAATGAATTAAGTACTTAACCCAAGGTACCACTGTACTTACTGCACTCTTGGTAACATCCTTTATTAAAATATCAGCAAAAAATGAGTTTGCAAAACAAATTTGAGCATAACCAAAAGTCACTCCTACCATTTTATGTGCCTAGATTAAGAATTTGAGTCTTATGGTGAATGAACTGGAATCGCTGGATAAGCATAACATCCTTGCAGTCCGCCGAGAAATTCTGGCTCTAAAGAATAAATTGCAAGAATGTGAAGCGAATACAAACCAGAGCACCACCAGCCACTACATCCCTCCTGGTAAGTATTTGTTTTGTTAGATGATGGAACCTATGTTGCAGAAGTATATTTTCATATTTTCCATTCTTGGAGGGCAGGGTAAATAATTAGATCTGAGGCTTCTTTCCTGAAAACTTTTCATTTTGTTACATATATTGTGAATGAATTATCTTTAGTATTCATTTGCCCAGCCCTCAGCATGTCACACCGTGGCCATTTTCAACCTTCCTTGCAGTGAATGAGAAAAAGAGCAGAAAGGAGGAGGACCAGGCAATTAATGGAGAAATTCTTCATTTTGCAATGAAACAGGGATTAAAATGCTTCTGAAAGTAAATAAGTAAATAATATCCTAACCAACCAGAAGTAAGCCCTTTTGAACTCTAAAAGGAAGGGGGAGGCCTCAATTTCAGCAGCACCTTGTAAGGTTTGGGACTTCAAAACACCTGGCACTGGATGGCATGGTGACATCATGTGATTGACAGTGGGTGGCCTTTCCCACCTGTCAAATTTGGCCTGCAACACCAATCCTGATAATGATTAGGTTGTGGAGCCAAAGGCTCCCAACCCCTTAGATTGTTCCAGGTTGTGTGTGACTGCAACTCTAAAAAACACTGAGACATGACTTGGTACCTAAATGAAGCCACATGGTAAAATGCGCAGAAAAATGCTGGAATAAAACACTTCCCCACTGGTCAAAAGTACAAAGAACGGTCAAAATTTTGACTTCAGTTTATTAAGCAGATTGCTTGCAAGGTTCCTGAATGAGTCTCCCACCCTACCCAACCCGTTGAGCTTTAGCTCAATGACTCTTACCACATTCCAGAATGGCTCCTAATTTTGGAGGCGGGGGACCTTTGTCAGAGGTAGCAAGATTTAGTGATAACTCACTGATGCCAGAATTTAATACATTCAAGTTATCTACATAACATAATGGAGGATCTTGTTAATCTTTCTGCAGTGACTCTCTTCTGAAACTTCCTTTGTGATCTCCTGCTCATCATAACCTTGGGAAATACATTTCCTGCACTATCAGTATGCTTGCAGTATGCTAATGAAATGGGCCATAGGGGAAATCAGTCTCAGATAATCACCATGGCAAAGTGTAGAAGACACTTCAATGACCACAGATTAACCATCAGGTAGTGTAGTGGCTTCTGTTATGCTCTTGGACGGCTCCCTTCATCTCAGTTGGGCTTATTCAGAAAATCTTCTGGTGAACAGCACACCATTCTGCTGAACTATCTGTGCTGCCATTTTCACAGGACCCAGGATTTGCCCTCTGAGTAGGCGGCTGCTGCCCATTCCCTGGTGATGGGACAGTCTCTGGTACTTTACATTCTTGTGGGGACCTGTGGCCCTCCAGTGTTGTTGGGCTGCAGTCACTATTGTCCTAACGTGTGTGTTCAGTGGCTAGAGAGGATGGGATTTGTAGTCTAATAATATCTAGAGGCCCACAGGAAACAGTCCCTGGATTATAAGGTACAAAGTGGGTCAGGAAAAAAGTTATGTGTTTTGTATGAAGGGCAATTCATCTCAGAAAGATCTTATTATTTTTGTTCACCACATGCTTCTGTTTCCTTGCTAGAAGAATAAATGAAGTGATGGAAGACAAAGTTTCATTGTTCAAAACACCTTCTTGAACTTACTTGCCTTTCAGGCAGCAGCTGCATTTTCTCTCTGAAGGATGAGGAACCCTTTTGTCTGTCAGGTCAAGTGGGGCTGGGGAGAGAGAGATTTAAAACATACACACATACACAAAAGATCTGAAACAACACCTCTGAAGCCCAGAAAGGGCATTACTCTCCTTCAAGAAACAGCTAAAAAACTTGAATTTTGAGTCACACAGTTGTGTGTGCAGGAGGAGAGGCTCTATGCTTTTTGCACTAGTCATTTTCCCACACACAAAAATCTCTCCCACTAGGTGTATTTTCATCCTTTTTGGGGGCGTTGCTGGATGAGCTTTCACAATAAATATACATCTGTATGGGGGAAAGCAGTCAGAGTAAGTCTGAACAAAAGAAACTCGTCTGCCACTAATTTGTTTAAAATTACTGCCTTCCACAGCAAGGCTACTTTTCCATATTATTTTAAAACAAGGCTGTTGGCGGTTTATTGTTACCTACATTTGCATGTAATCTCTAATTTGCCCCTGACTTGACTGCAACACTGGGGAGCAGGAGGACCCTGTAATTTCCCTTACTTTCTAAATGGGTGGGGGCTTTGTGGGTTTACAGCTTCCTTGCACTCATTGAAGCAGGTGAGAGCAGATAGTTAAGTACATTCTCCCAGCAAACTTAGCTCCATGTGTATATCTGCCAGCCCATTTGGCTTCCATTTGCTTTGGGTTCATCTTATATTTATAATGTTTGTATTAAACTGGGTGTTTTTTTTGTCCTGATTCCAATGCTTTCCTTTTTCTCCTCTCTCTTTCCTTGATATTTTGTGGTGGGTGTGAAGAGTGCCTAGGAAATCCCAGAGCTGTCTAAGCTTATGAATCTAATGAGACTATATAAAGTTTAACGGCTATGGCAGAGCTTTAGAAAGTCACCTCGTGAGATGCTCTGTTGTAAAGCTTCTCTTGTGGCTGTGCTCAATAGAGTGGATTAACCTAGTTTGCAGCAATGTTAAAACAAAATATAATAAAAGCATATTTGATATGCCTCTGACTTCTAGCATGGCCACTGACTACTGTAAACATGATTATAATGCCATGAACAAGTGTTTCAAAAAAGGGAGCTGCTGCCTTGTAGGTGCATCTGCCCTCTTTACACATGCACACCTTATAGATAAGATGGCAGGGTATTATTTTTTCCTGTAGTGTTTTCTAATGCGAAAAAGTGTTTTACAAGTCTAATGTCATTTATACTTTCCTGTGAGACTGAGAAGTAACCAATGGTTGCTGGTGTAACTCAGTTGGTAGAGCATGAGTCTCTTAATCTCAGGATCATGGGTTCGAGCCCATGTTAGGCAAAAGATTCCTAGGTGACCCTAGGGGTTGCTCCAACTCTACAATTCTATGATTCTATGCCCAGTGAGCTGCAGGGCTGAGTAGGAATCTTAATGGAGCTATCCTATGTCCATGGCTGTAGCCAGGATTTTTGTTAGGGGGGCAGGCTTTAGGGGAGGGAGGGAGAACCTCACATGTGTAATGATTTGTAGAGATTTTGATTGATTTACGGGGGGCGTATGCCCCCCTGCCCCCTGGCTACGCCCATGCCTACACCTGTCCTGTTTCTGGGAAGCTGTTGCCTAAAGCAGTCTAATGTGCTAGTGACACCTGCCTGTCTGTCTCCACCTCTTCTCCCTTCTCCCTTTCCTTTCATGTAAAGTTATGATGAAAGCTTCTTGCAATCTAAGTCTAACTAGGGGAATTAGCAGATATATGTTCATATACTTAGTAAACTCCTGTGGTCCCCCACAAGATGCTGGAGCCATGCTAGATATATGAATTGACTTAGACAATTCAGGAAAGAGCAAGAAAGAGTGTTTTAGCATGGATCTCATTAAGCTTATTTCAGTTTTATCCTGCTTTAGCTTTCATGACTTACTTCAAAGACTCCTGAGAATAGTGAAAGTGCTTAAAATTTCTTTGTTTGGTGATGGCCTTGATGGTTTAGCAAGTACGTGAAAAGGGTCCAGAGAGGAGTATGCTCATTTCCTTCCAATTTGCAGAAGGTGGTCTGAAGCAGGGAGCCTGCTGTGCTTTGGGAAAACCTTTGAGAGCCGTGTTTCTCCAGGGATCTGAAAAGCATGTATGGAAGTCTCCCTGCTTCAGAAGATTGCTTTCCCTGTGCTAAAAGGTGATGGGAAAGGTGACAGAGGGATGCAGCTCGTGGATATATCCTTGCTGCCTGTCCCACTCTTGCGTTTCCTGAGCTCAAAATGTAGTGCTTGAAGATGACTTAAAGCATTTGTCTTTCAGGGCAAAGGCTTGTGCTCAAATCATTTCCACCACAATGACTTTCAGTCTTTGCCATTTAAGAAAGGGAAGAAAGATCCCTGGTTCCTCTCCCAGAACTGCAGTCCTCAGTATCTGGAAAAGCACCCATATACTCTCTTAGTGCCCCTTCAAACATTGCAAGGATTGTGGGTACATGTGTGTGAATATGCTGTGTGCTTCTGAGATTCCCTGAAATTTGTAAGTGCTTTGCTAAGCTTTTCCTGATGACTGTGTACATGTCATGGGAAAGTGTGAGGAGTCCCCGTTATCTGTGAGTTATACTTGAGGTGAAAGAAAGACTAGCATGGCTCCAGCATATTGTGGGGGACCACAGGAGTTTACTAAGTATATGAACATATATCTGCTAATTCCCCTAGTTGTGTGTGAAACATTTCTTGACTCCCCTGCATTGACATGCATGCTGTCCCATGGTCAAGTTTGAAAACAAGTGACAGCTTGAATAATGGATGTACATTTATTTCTTATGCCTTCCAATATTTACAAAGTGAGAGGATGCTTTGTTTTCTTCTACTCCCCTCCACCCCACCCTGTTCTGCTCAGTATGCCAACATTAAAGAAACTCAACAGCAACACAGTATTCAGATCTAGTACAAGAAATGGATAACCTACCCTGACTATTTGTGCGCATGTTGTGTGCATGTTGAAAAGGCTGTTTTGTTTTTAAAAAGAAAAGCCTAGACTGGATATTGAACCTCAAACAATGTTTGATCTTAATAAACCAAACCCACTTCTAACTTTAATAATTCATGTATTATTTCATAAGTAAAGAACAAACAAATGTTCAGGAAAGAGATCTCTTTAAGGGGAAAAATAAGATCTTCTTATTTCTTTTGTACCATAAAAAGCCTTTTGGCTGAATACATGATTGTTTTTTATTTATGAAACAATGCATGAATTATTAAGATGAAGCTAGATCCGTGCTTGGTTTAATGACATGAAAAATTATTTTAGGCTGAATCTCTGCAACTTGCTGTGGACATTTTTATATCTTTTTTGCAGCTTTTTAAAAAGTAAGTTGCAGATTTATGCATGCCGTTAATAAGCATTTAATTTGAAAATAACATTACTGATTTAGGTGTGCTAATTCAGTCAATGTGTTGACAGTTAAGGGCAAACTATAAATTATAGTGGCTTCTCTGCTGTGTAAAGAGCTCCCATTGATTTAGCGAGCTGGTAAGTGGCACAACATTTAGCAGTAAACCCAGGTCATAAAACTACATATTATATTCCTGTATTGTGCTGATGGAGGTATATATAACTCTAAGTACAGAAATGTAGGTATGCCAAGAGCTGAGATCATGTTGACTGCATAAGGTCTGGAGCATGAAAGCTGTGAGTTGGGCAGTCCCCAGTTCAGTTCATGCCTTACCATGAACTCTCTCAGGGTTGGATTTGGCAACTCTCCCATCAATAGTCTGGGGATAGCAATCAACACTGGCCTGAGCTGTTGTAAGGGTGACTAAAGGCTCGTTCACACTTCCACTTGCCCCATGTCTAGAAAGCATGGGTCCCTGGGTTTTCCCAGGAACAAATGGAAGTGTGGATGAGCCTTCCCTGAGTAACATTTGTCTTATAGACTCACTACAATCAGATCAGGAGGTTGAACTCCACAACTTCATATTGCAGGTAAAGGATTGCATATTAAAGGACAAGATTTAGCTTTCTACCTGACATGCTAATTTTCTATGTGCAGGTGTTTTTTATTGTTGTTTTTGGAGGTGGAGGTTCTATCATGCACTTCTCCTGTGCATTCTGAAATAGTACAGCCTAGAAGCAGTTTTGCCAAATGGTAATATGTTTTGTCTAGAGCAATGATGGGAACCTATGGCCCTCCAGGAGTTGACTCCAGTTCCTATCAGCCCTAGCTAGAATGGGCAATGGTCAGGGATGATGGGTTTTGTAGTTTAGTAATACCTGGAGGGCCACAGGTTCCCCCCCCCATCTAGAAACTCTCTAAAGTGTTATATAAATGCTTGATGTTGTTACGTTAACAACCATTTCTTTTCAATACTATTGACCCTGGGAATGCGTTGTCCTCCTGTTTTAGCAATATGTTGGCTTGGGAGTCAGAATGGTGGATAAAGTCAATTCAATTCACATTTAAAGGCAAACCTGCTTAATCCACACTTTGCAAAACAATATGAGAACTGAAACACAGCCATCCTTCTGGACATGACACTCTTAGTCAATTTTGCCCGGAATGATTCATTTAATCTCTGGGGGGAAACCCCCATGATTGCAATAGGTTTTCTCTAGATATGTTCCAAACTGATGCGTTGCCAAGACACCTGGTCTGGAGCGAGGGTCCTGTGACACGAGAGGTAATAACGAGCCAAGAGCAGGATGGGAGGTAGAAATGAGGGTGAGGAAGTGGTGGTGAGTGACTGAGGGCACAAAGCAAGTGAGAGGTGAAGATTTTAGAAACATAAGTTATTTCACTGCCAGAGATACTCAGAATCTTTGAACTGCATATGTGCAACACACTCTGTTTTTGGTTGGTTTCAGGAAGCTGCAGTCATGGTGGAATTGCAAATGCCAGCCAGCCCTTTGTGATTCAGCTAAACTGGAGAGGATTTGACTACAAATATGGTGCCTGGGGAAGATATACCTCTCCCCTGAACCCTGAAAAGGAGCTCTATTGGGTTGCGCCACTGAACACTGATGGAAGATACCTGGAATATTATAGACTTCATGATTCCTTTGATGATTTATTGCTGTTCAGATACTCTAATCAATTTAGAATTCTATATGGCCAGGGCAGCGGCATGGTTGCTTACAACAACTATATGTATTTTAACCAACATGGCTCAAGAGATATGAGCAAACTAGATTTAAGCACCAATACTGTGGTGCTGAAGAAAACTCTTCCAGATGCTGCTTTTAACAATCGGTTCTCATATGCAGGGGTGTCATGGCAAGATCTGGATTTTGCTGTGGATGAGAATGGATTGTGGGTAATTTACTCAAAAGAAGCTAGCACAGGTAATATCGTGATTAGCAGACTTAATGAAACAACTCTTGAGGTGATCAGTACATGGGAAACAAGGCAGTACAAGCCAGCCGTGTCCAATGCTTTTGTTGTGTGTGGTGTGCTCTATGCCACAAGGCCCATCAATACTAGGAAGGAGGAAATATTTTACACATATGACACAAACACAGGAAGAGAAGGCAGAACAAGCATCACTCTAGATAAAATGCTAGAAACAATTCAGAGTATCAACTACAGCCCTATAGATGGGAAACTTTATGTGTTCAATGATGGCTACCTTGTTCAGCATCAGTTGACCTTCCAGACTCTTCCACAACAAAAGTGAAACAGAGGAAGAGGGGAAAGCAGAGGTTTGACTTGTTTGTAACTCATTTGTACTATCTCCCAATATTGCTACTACATTTCTGAGGGGCGAGGGGCAGAAATGTAATATTAACTCATGGCAACATGGGGGTTTGGAAAACTTGGGGCAAGGTCCAGCCAATGTTGAACACTTAAATTTCAATTATTTCACCAGCCTTTGCTTTATTTCATTAAGCCTTTGTTTAACATTCCCATTGAAATGAGCAGGACTTAAAACTGCTTAAGCTTGGCTTGATTGTGCCCATAACAATACGCCTTGCGTGGTTCAGACCAATTGTCCCTTTAGGTCAGTGTTCTTCCTATGTGTGATGCTCATGTCTGTTACTAGAGGGGGGGACCTGGTCTTTTTGGATTGGGGCAGGGGAATATATTCATCTCTACCTCAGGGCTTTTCTACTCCATATTATTTGCTATGCAGACTTAAAACATTTCCTCTTAAAGCACCACTACTGTTATTACATTTTCCCAGTGCTCAAATTGCAGTAGTTCATTGCAGTGAGAATTTGGTTCTGCTCCCAGGCTGTGGTTTGTGTGTGTCATAGGCACCACTTGGTTAGCATTTGTGGTATCAGAATAACACATGACAACTCCTTGTCTGTACTCTCTCCCCTATTCCTGTGCCTTATAGTGACATGTTTTATATATGATTATAGTTTTAATCTGGGATTTTGTCTGGGACGCGGGTGGCGCTGTGGGTAAAACCTCAGTGCCTAGGACTTGCCGATTGTATGGTCGGCGGTTCGAATCCCCGTGGCGGGGTGAGCTCCCATCATTCGGTCCCAGCTCCTGCCCACCTAGCAGTTCGAAAGCAAGTGCAAGTAGATAAATAGGGACCGCTTTATAGCGGGAAGGTAAACGGCGTTTCTGTGTGCTGCGCTGGTGCTGGCTCGCCAGCTGCAGCTTCGTCACGCTGGCCATGTGACCCGGAAGTGTCTTCGGACGGCGCCTGCTCACGGCCTTTAGAGCGAGATGAGCACGCAACCCCAGAGTCGGACACGACTGGCCTGTACGGGCAGGGGGTACCTTTACCTTTACCTTATAGTTTTAAAATATTCTTTGAATGTCATCAACACTCATCTAGACTTACTAACAATAATGAAAATAATAATAATGAAATGTTTTAAAGTGGAAAGTTATATAAATTGTAGACTGAGGACTCTTTCATCCCTCTCCAGCACTCTGAATGGTGCTTTGCCAATTTCACTTTGGATAGTAAGAATGAAACTGATAACTTTTTTTGGGACAGGCCCTTTATGGTTACTACCCCTCTCCACTGACTCCCACAAGTATATCTTGTGAAATCTGGATGGGGCCTTAAAGTTATTGCTCAGCGATATGTGGAAGGATCACAAAGGAAAAAATACAGTTAGTGGATAAGCTCATGAGGCACACTCCTTCTGTGAAAGCCCAGATAATAAAATTAACAAGAGCTACACAGCAAAGGATTGTTATGTTCATTTCAATGAGGCTTGCTCAAGAGAACAATCCACAAGGTAGATTGTGACCTTTATGTCCACACAGCATAATCCAAGCCAGGGTGTATGCAAAACAATTTGCTACTAATGTAAAAGTACTGCCAATTTTAGCCAAATATTAATCTATCTCTTTGGATAGATTCCAGTCCTCAAGCTTCTTGATGTGAAAAGAGTCCTGCAAAGGTAATAAAGATTTAGGCCAAATGGAGCCTTCCTTTTTTGGACTGGAATATATAAAAAATGGCTCATTGCTGTTGTCCCTACTTTTGGAGGAAATGGGAGAGCAATACTAATTGTTTTATGAAAAGGGGGTCTTATTTGTGACATTTTGGACAACAAATTCCAAGATACTGTGCAAACATTTGTAAACCCCTCCTTTGTTGTGATCAATGAGTGAATAATTGATTTTTTTGTAGCAAGAAATTATAATATCCTATGCCATCTTTTGCATTTTTATTAATTATGAATAATTAGAATTTTGAATAAACTACATATGGTAAATTTTCTATGACTTCTATATTTTGTAAATAAAAGAAAACTCTAGACCACCATCTAATACAGAATTTAGTGTGCTTAATCTCACAACTGCCTCTCTTCTACTTGTTCAATGGTTTCTTCTTGCACACTTCTGTTTGCCATATAAATTTCGAATAATGAATATTTAAAAAACCCAAAAAATTAAAAGTAGATTCATAATAAAACATGGAAGTTGTGTTAGCTTGGATACTGTAAGTGCATTTGCATAAATGTGATGCTTTGCATTATTCATGTTGAATGTGGGCTTATATTTATTTGGCACTGAATGTTGCAGAAAATGCATAGCTTTACCACTGGTCTGGTTTTTCTTTTTCAATAAACTATATTTAGGCAAAGAAAAATGAAATGGAATTCTTTAGTGGGTGATGCTATTTCTGACAGCTAGTCTAGGAAACAGCTTGGGCAGATTCCATTTCAAACCATGATGCTCACACGCCACTAGACATGGTGGCTTATGTGACTCCTAACAAAACCCAAATGGATGTGTAGAAGTAAACTGTGCAGTCTGTCAGCAAATTTTGTGTGTATTACCCAACTGGATTAGAATCTTGGGAAGGCCAGCTCAACTGACATCATGAGCATATTTCTTACCAATGTGGCCAATCTGTATAGCCCAATTTTATTCACACTGAAGATCTGAATGTTCCTCCATCTGAAAATGTCTTTCTGTACCGCCCATGAGGCCCAGTGAAGTGACCACCTCAGGCAGCAGGATCCACAGAGGCAGCAGATCCTGATGCAGATCCTGGAGGGGGCACCATTTTCTGGTTTGACTTAGGTGCCAAAATGTATTGAGCTGGCCCGGTTCCATATACAAAATTGGAAGCCAGGGAGAAAAGTTCCAACCCTGTCCTCTCGCTGACATCAGGTTTTCTAGGCTGAGGAACTTCTGCATGGCATAGCTTTTTATTTTAAAATGTGTGGAATTAACTTAAAAGCTACTGTCACATTTGCTACATTTACCTGACCACCTAGTTTGATAGGAAGCAGCATGTACTGTGCAGCCACCAGGGATTCAGAAACACCAATTGCATATGTACACTTAGCAGAGAGCTGTGCTTGGCCAAAAGCCCCTGTTGATTAGCACACTCTTTGTCAAACCTGTAAAATGGGCCTAAAGTCTGTCCTTACGCAATGCCTTAATTTGGGAATCCAGTATGGTGCTAATATAAAGAATGAGGGGGGAGGAGGAGGAGGAGGAGGAGAAGAAGAACTGTTTACATTGCCAGCTTAGTAGGAGATCTACTATAGGAATCCTCATTTTGTGTTATTGAGAGCTGGTGCAGCTTAATCACCAGGAGCACATGTGTGAGCCTGGAAGTACCTGATTCAAAAGGCACTTCAGATGATAGAAATAATAATAAATTAATATAATCATTGTTAATTTTTATCTTGCTCTTCCTTGAAGAGATCAAGGATGCATCTATTGTGCCCCCACCCAATTCTCTTTATCTTTATCTATCTCAGAGAGGTTTGGCTGAGAAATAGTTATTGGCCCAAATTAGGGTTGCCATATTTCAAACAGTGAAAATCTGGAAAGAAAAGTTGACCTTTTTGGCAGAATAACAAAAATGGATGTTTTTGAGCTATTTTTATGGGAAATTGGCAAAAATGACGCTGCTGACATGGATTGCCATACATATTTTGCCGATTTCCGCCCGGACACTGCTGCCAACTGCAATATTCTGGATAAGTCCAGAAAATCCCAGACATATGGCAACCTTAGCATCATACAGAAAATGTAATGGCTGAGGAGGGATTTGGGTCTATAGATAATAATAATAATAATAATAATAATAATAATAATAATAATAATAATAATAATAATTTTATTTATATCCCACCCTCCCCAGCAGAAGCTGGGCTCAGAGCAGCTAACAACAATAAAAATAACACAGTTTACATAAAATCACAATCAATTAATTGAAATACATTCTAAAATCAATTCATTCTAAAATCAATTCAGAGTCAAATTAATGGCAACCATTGGGCTAGAGTTCTATGAGGATTACAGAAGGACTGTGCCTTGGCCAAAGGCCCGGTGGAACAGCTCTGTCTTGCAAGCCCTGCAGAAAGATGTCAAGTCCTGCAGGACCCTAGTCTCTTGTGACAGAGCGTTCCACCAGATCGGGGCCACTGCCAAAAAAGCCCTGGCTCTGGTTGAGGCCAGCCTAACCTCCCTGTGGCCCGGGATCTCCAAGATGTTTTTATTTGAAGACTGTAAGGTCCTCCATGGGACGTACCACGAGAGGCGGTCACGTAGGTACGAGTGTCCTGGCCATATAGGGCTTTAAAGGTTAAAACCAGCACCTTAAACCTGATCCTGTACTCCACTGGGAGGCAGCGCATCCAGTATAGCACTGGATGAATGTGATCCCACGGCAAGGACCCCGTAAGGAGTCTCGCTGTGGCATTCTGCACCTGCTGGAGTTTCTGGGTCAGTCTCAAGGGCAGCCCCACGTAGAGTGAGTTACAATAATCCAGTCTGGCGTTCTGAGGACCTGGGTGCCTTTTGGTGACTCCCCCACTCCCCAGTAAGCTCGTAAAGAGCCCAAGAGCGAGTGGGGTTGGAGACACGGCACAGCGGAAACGACTATTTCCTTCACAGCACGAAGCTCCGTGTCTGGCAATCGTGAGCGGCCAATTCCTCCAGAAAAAAAGGACTAAAAATTCAGAACCGTGAGTAAAGAATAAAGCTTAAATTAGAGCACAATTAGGAGAGAAAGGGGTTTAAAAACGGAGGTCAATCCCTTTCGCTGAATTAAAGGAGAGTCGGTAAACGTGGACCAAAGCCCTGAGAGAGAAAAGACTTAGAAAGTTTTGCAAGTTAACTCTAAATCCCCCCTTCTGCAGGGGGAAGGAGGGAGAAATTATTTTTAGCTTCAAAAACCCTGCGAGACTGTGTATTAATATAAAGAAGCGTCTTCATTCTGTAGCGGACCTCCCAGTAGGGAAAGGCTAGACTCCATTGTGACGTCACAATGGAAGAGGAAACATTCAAATTTCGTTTCCATTGACTTGGATATTTTGTATCCTGCTGCTGCCTGGACTTGCTTTTAAGTAACAAAAAGTATCTGTCACCTCCAGGATTGCCTTTAAAATATTAAAAGGGACTGAGAAAATTTTTTACAGCCTGCCTTTCAGTAATAGCAAATAGAGAGGCTGCTTGCTGCCTGAAACTGACTCCTGTGGGATTATTGTGGGAACCTGTTTTCTCTCTTCTCCCCCGCTTACTGTGGGACTGACCCCGCTTACTGTGGGACTGTCACAACTCATGAGACAAGGCTCACACAGCTTGAGACAGTTAGAGTCACTGATTTGGAAAGATTACAATATGAAAATTCAAATTTGATTGCATTTCTTCAGATGAAGGAACGGGAAACCCATCTAAGATTGAGAGGTGTCTCTCAACAACAGGAAGAAGATTGACTCAAGGAGTGGTTGACAGATCAATTTGTGGCGTGGTGGGACTTAAGAAAAGAAGAAGTAGACCTCTGGCCCCCAAAAGGACTCAAAAATTACCTATGATTGTATAGTGGTCTTTAAGACCAAAGAACAGAGAGATACCATTTTGGGGCTGCATTATAAAAAAGGTCTAAAAATTCAGGACATAGCTATCGTCCTCTTTAAATAAATTCCTAGACACTTCTTGAGCCAGAGATCAAACTTCACAGATTTGGCTAACATTTTGAGGAGGAAAAATATCTTATTTAGGT